GGCTTGATAATTTAAACAAGGTTAAGGAACGTGCGTGTAAACATAGTTGTGTGCTTGCAGCGCGGGGACAGTCAGTGCACAGCCCCACAGAGGAGGGGTTTTCCCAGCCAGAACATCTGCAAGAAAGAAAATCTTACTTTCTGTGGGAAAGTGGAGAAGAGTGAGTTATGTTTGTGGTGGAGCAGACTGAAGGCTTCAGAGGGTGAACAAGCCAAGCAGCCATACCACACCTGGCATATCTGCAGTGACGCAACACAGCTGCCAAATCCTTCTGGACAGGCACAGGATGGCCAGCACTTGGGTAAAGCCTAGGCAGAAGGGTCCAAGGAAACTGAGCACAAACTGAGCAGCATGGGACCAAGCAGACAGAGGGAAATGGACACCCCAGGGTTAGATGTTTGGACTTTGTAGAGCTGAACAATGATCACAGAAAAAGGCTCTGAGTCTACCTTGCTGCTAGCACTAAGCCTCCTATCACTGTGTACCAGTTCATCGGGAGGGATGGGTAACAGAGAAGGTACTTTCCAGAGACTTCTGGCAGCAGGAAAAGTCTCCTATTTGCTCGCCCTCCCGGTTTTCTCTTTAATTTCCAGTTTTTACTGCTACTGTGCATAAAGAGAAGATGGGTGCATCTGAGGGCAGAGTGGATGGGTCCCTCCCTCGCTTTCCAAAGGGTGCTCTAAGTCCTGGGATCTGGGCAAGGGTGTGCCTGGCTCGTGGCTGAGCCTACACTGCAATGAGCTGTAGTACTTGCAACTTGTAAAAGCACAGAGCTGACCCCTGCGTAGGCACAAGGGTCTGCACACCAGAGAGCTTTTGGGCTCAGTTTGTCTCCAGGGACCCAGGCCAGGAAAAGCACTCTGGTCCCCTGTTCCAGTCCTGGGGATCAGATGCAAGAAGCCAGACCACGGAGGTGCAAGCTGGATGATAACCACCAGGAAGAGTTCAGCTGCAGGAGGAGAGCACCAGGGATGGCACCAGCTCCTGCTCAGAAACCCACAGGCTGGCCAAGGGTGCTGGTGTCTTCCCACAGGACAAATCTCAGCAGAAATTGTCTGGACGAGCAGCAACCGTGATGACATGCTGGGAATGAGACGGGAGCAAGCAGGGGCCTGAGGAGGAGAAATGCCGCACCTGGATCCTCCCCATCACCCACCCATGTTCTTGTTTAAACAAGGACAAACAGGGCAATGGGATGAGAGTAAAGGGGCTTTTCCTCATTTCATTTCCCACCCTTCCCAACCATCCACATGTCCCATCTCCTCTCAAAAAAACAGGCAGTTCCCTGAGCCCCTGCCAGCTCAATCTGGCACAGATGTCAAGGGAGGTGTGCCCATGGAGGCAGCCCTTTGCCTTGGCACCACGCAGAGGAGAGCACCAGCATGGGGGACAACCAGCCCTTGCACTGGCAAACATGTATGTTCACAGCTCCTGTGTTCCCCTGTGCCCCAGGGAGCAACATGAAGAGGACTGTGGGAAGGGGAACAACTCAATCCCACCTCCTGGCTGGAAATGACCGTGCCAGGTCAGACCCTGAGACCGCAGCAGGTTGTGCCTGCTGTGACTTGTGCCCCTTGAATACAGCCTGGGAAGAATCCGAGACAGTTTTCACCCTGGGAAGGGTCTCACAATCCTGGCTATGAGACCTGTCAGCCAGAGAACAACAAAAAGCATGCTCAGTCTGCTTGCATAGGTGCAGCCTTGTCTGTCTTTCTTGGCCTTGTGCACAGTCACCAAGAGAGCAGCTGGTTTGTCAGCTCCCTAGGAAAGCTTTCCAGTTATAATGTCTTATTATTCCACAACATGTGAAATACAAGTCCCAGGCATGGATAAAGGACTGCAGGTGTTTCAACTGATGCTCCAGGACACCTCACACCAAAGTGATCCCTACAGATAGCCCCAGACGTACTGAGAGCATGTCTGCATTGTACTGCAATGGGTCCTGATCTTCCCTCACCAGCCCCTGAAGATGCAGTGAGGGTGGGCAAAGAGTGAGAAAACCACGGCTGGGCAGAAAGAAATAGGAGGACTTTGAACATCTTTTACTGAAACTAGCTCTTGCCTAGGGATCGAGGTTTTTTACTACTTTCTCTAAGGAAAGTGCTGCTTCCCTCTAAAGAGACAGTTTACATCTTGTATCAGAAAAACTCACTCCATAGTTTACAAAGTACTGAGCTCTGCTGGGTTTTGACAGTTTTCCAAGAGTCAGGCTCTGGAGTAGGGACAGCTGCCTCAGGGCTAGAGGAGGGACAGCCAGCCAGCACTACGTACCTGGCCCAGGGCAGCATCTCCTCCTGTCCTTCACTGGGGGATAAGGGCAGCCTGCTGCCAGAGCTGGGATCTGCATCACCACCCTCTTGAGAGCCATGGAAGACAAGGACCTGTCAGGGATCTGTGACAACCAGCTGCATTGCTCTGAGGACACGTTTACTGTTCCCAGAAGGGATAGGAGCCACAAGCTTTACATCCACACTCTTACAGGCAGGTTGGCCAAGCCATCCCTCAAACTCTGATGGAAATAGATAAACCTGCTTCCATCATCCAAGAGATTGGTGCAAGCCCCTTCTCCCCCAGCTTCCCAAGGAACTGGGCCAGGACAATGTGCTTCTTGTCAGGGTAGCCTCCAGCCAAGGATGAACCTGATCTGCCACAGGCTAAACCCCTCCTGCAGCCCCTGCCCTGTGCAGAGACCCACACCAACTGCAGCAGCTCAGCCCCGGTGCAGATCCACACCAAGCATCCTCCCCCTCCCCAGCCGCAGCCCTTCATGGGTCATCAAGCAAGCGGCAGGAAGGTTTCTGCCCAAGCAAGCACCAGTTATCCTCCCTTCCCACTCACGCTGTTTGTCTTGGCCTCTCTTGCCATACCAGCCTTCCTCCTCTTCCGCCTCCTCCTCGGGATTGTATTTCTGGGGCTGTCACTATAGTTAATGAGCTGGGACAGAGCTGGTGCTCTGGCAAAGTCACACCAAGAGACACTCAGGGCATTGTGCATGCACAGACACCAGGGAGGAGGTACCCAGAGGGGGAACACCTGAAAAAGAAAACATAGCCACCAACCAAAGGAGCTGGTTGACCAGAGGAGGACAAAGGCCAGGCCTAAGCTTGCATTCAACAGCTGTCAGCAAAAAACATCTGGTGCCTGGGCATCTCCTGGCTTGGACACCCCAGCCACTGCACCACCATGGATGCCATCCCCTGGAGGGGCTGGGGGCCACGTCCCCCCTGCCTTCAAGAACAGTCCCTGGGCTGTCTCACTCCCAACCTGTGCCCAGGTTTTTAATTTGCCAGTGCGAATAATTTAACAAAGTGGACAGCCACGTTAGACACTGTGGTCTTTGGGAGGAAAGCATCGTGCCTTGCTGTTGGCCCTGCAAATCCCACTTGTGCACGTTCAGCTCATGCTTCAGCTGAACAGAGAAGCTTTGTTCAAACATTGCGTGGCCGGGCCAAAAGGACAGTTCCTGAGGGGACGTAAGGCCACTTTGGGGCAGCAAGACCATAGTCCCAGTGCACAGACACAGGAGACCCAACAGCTGGGAGGAAAATGGCCAGGGACTCCCAGCTCATTGATGATAAGGGGCAGGAGCTAGTAGGCTGCCCTCCATGATTATCCATGGATGTGCCCAGGAACAGGTGTCCTCACCTACCTCCATTTCCCCAAAAGCTCTTTCTCCTTTCCTGTACCCCAGCTGCTAGCAAGCAGAGAACTGCCAGGGCAATCGGCACACTGGATCAGCCACGCTGCACCTCAGTTTCCCTTCACCGCAAGGAAGTCCCGTTCCCGCAGCTCTTTGTCTGTGTCTCACATTCCCATGGGAGCTGAGAGCTGGGGAGCTCCAACCCAGCAGCTGCACCAGCAGGACTGAAGTGGTTTGGGCTGGACGGTGCAATACTAGTATGCTCCCTCCCACCCCATCTCTGCAATACAACCCCCTGGGGACCTGCTGAGAGGCTCCCAGGAGATACTTGCAGCCCAGGTGCTGTAGAACTTGTCCTTCACCTCTGTGAAAGCCCTTTCCCCCCACTTATACCCCAGTGCAGCTGCAGCATTGCAGGCAGTGCTGGCTGCATGCCCCATGCTCAGCGCTGGCCTTAGGGCTCAATCACGAGGCAGGTCAACTATCTGCTGGCTTTTCTTTTTATTTAAGAAAATCATAGCACAGTAAAAAAGAGAGAAAAGGAGCAACCGACACCTGTAATTGTTGCATCAAACAGATCTAGCAGCAAAAACCTGAGAGAGATGCGAATACTTCTCATGCATCCCTGCCCAGGCAGGAGCACGGGGCAGAGTTTGAACACAGTGGCAGGCTGGGGGACCAAGAAGGGGGGCAATGTCCCTGAGGAGAACAAGGGCTGATGGCAACATCGCTGCCTGCTCTGCCACCGCCTCATTACTGTCTCTGTTTCTACCCAGGAGGGTAGAAGGGCAAGGAAGGGCAGGAGGGGAAACAATGCAGGGAAGCCAGGGCGTACGAGAGGAACCACATCAGCCATGCTCTGCCTGATAACATCCAGGTGGTGCACAGCAAGGGAGCAGCACAGCGCATGGCCAGTGAAGAACATCTCCATCAGTCCCCTCCATCCCCACACTGCCCTGTCCTGGCAACCCTTCCCAGGGATGCAGAGGGACACAGGCTTGGGGCTGATGATGGAAACCGAAGGGATCAGACGAATGCTGCACTGAAGGGAAGGCTGAGACCCCCCAAACTCATCTCACAGGACAGTCCATCAAACAGCTTCCAGACCGTGAAGGTGTCACAGTCTGTGGTCCAGCAGCCCCCAGCTCAGCCTGACGCAAGTTGCTGGGTCACGCCAGAGACAGAATGAGGAAGAAAGAGCAGGCAGGGCTCTGCCCAGCCCCACGCACTGGCATGAGTCCTGAGGAGGGTCGGCCCTGCGGCTGGAGGTGGAAGCAGGTTGGCTCCATTAGTTTCAGATTCACAGCTGGGAGCTGGCCACACTCCAGATGCTGGGGCCGGCCACAGGCTTCTTCAGAGCCTACTTGCCCTCAGATCTGGCCTGTGGAGATGAAAAACCCAGGTGTGATGAGTGTGATCCTTGGGGCAGGAGCCTCCCCCAAGTCCCTTCTCCACCATCAGGGTGGTCACCAAGGGGTGACCTCCCTTGGCCAAGCCATGGAAGTGAAGCACCCACCAAATTCATTGTGAACCCTTCCCATGAAGATGTACAAGCTGCATACTCCAAGCTTGCAGGGCAGAAGTGAGGAGGGGCTTGTTCCCAGTGTCATTTGCTGTGTCAGCCATCAGGCTCAGCCCAAGGTGGCACTGGGTGCAGTGGCTTTTCCAGCCTGGCAGAAGGTGGTGACTGGGTGCAACAGCCCTAGGGCTACATTTATTTGGGTTGGGAGAGGGATTCAGAGCCAGACTGATAGAAGTTAGAGGGAAGAGGGACAGAGATGGAAATTAATTATCCATGCGTCAGTAGAGCACACCCCAGCAGCCCAGGCAGACTGGGAAAAGCCTGTTTGGCAGCAGATAAAACCATCCCCAGGCTGCCTCTGTTCCTGGCTGAGCACACGGATGGCTCTTACCTTCCTGGCATAGTTGGCATCCAGCTTCTCTTGGAGACGAACCACCCACGGGGCTTGGAGGGGAGCACAGAGGCGCTTGCCCCTTGTGGTGATGAACCTGCCAGGCCCATGGGAAAAAAAAAAAACAAAACGAGGTGAGCAGGGCACCTTGGGGATGCTCAAGCACAGCTCAGGCTCTCACCTGCTGCCTCCCTCACTGCCCTCCTCCATCTCTACCTTGGGATGTCTTTCTTCCCTGACTTCTGTCCCAAGTATTCCCTGCCCAGCAGGTCTGTCCTGCTCACATTAAGCCTCTGATCTCCAGGGTCTCTTCCACATCCCTCCTTATTCCCTTACAACCAAACCCTGCTCAGTGTTCCTCCTCCACCCTGCTCTGCTCCTCTCCTTGCCTTCCCACAGGGTCCATCCCTTGGCCATCACAAGGTTGGGGCTCTTGTCCCTGGGCCATCACCGGTCTGGGACTCTTGTCCCTCAGCCATCACCACCCTGGGACTCTTACACGATAGCCGGGATGTCGCAGCCATCCTGGACCAGCTGGAGCCGGTAATCCTGCACTATCCTCCGTGGGATGGGCGTCTCGCTCGTCCGCAGGCAGCAGTCAAGGACATTGTTCCCGCCGTGCACTGTAGGAGGAACACACCGTGCAGGCTGAGGATGCTCTCCCCAGGTCAGCTGCGCCTTCACCCAGCTTACCTGGAGGGTGCGGGGACTGCAGGGCCACCCCTGCAGAGCAGGGCAGGATGGTGCCTGACAGCAATGCCCCCGCACACTGCCCCAGCTGCACACGCAGGCAGGAGCTTTATTGCCCCCACGCCCCGGTGCCAGGAGGCCTTTGCCTCCTTCCAACAGAAAGCAAAGGAGATTAGAAACTACAGATCAGTGGAGGGCAACCCTTCTGCCTGCCTGAGTCCCTCCTGCACCCCTAGGGCCAGTGCCAGCAGCAAACAAGGCAGGACAGGGGTCTTCACCCAGCTTCAGGTTGCTACAATACAGGCACCCATTCCCGAGGGTCTGGGAATGACTTCAGCTTTGTTTGCCAAAGCAGTGACAGGTTTTGCAGCTACCCCATCACCAGCCCTCCCCACACTGATCAGTCCCTTGACAGCTGAGGGACACAGCTGTCTGTACTTCACTGCAGGGTAGGGGACCTCAGTTACCCTCCGAGCAAATGCTGTATTGACCGTCAATGCCCATCAAGGCTGGCAGGGCCCAGGGGTGCCTGTAAGGCCAGGCAGCAAGGTGTGGTGCAGCAGCACGAGGTGTCTGCCCTCCTCAGCACCCTGCAGCGGTGACCACCCAGACAGCTGTGACCTCCGCAAAGCCCATGTCAGACTCCAGCAGCCCCTCAAACATGGACTCTGCCCTAGCACACACCTTCCCTCCCGCTCCCAGCCCTGCCACTTGCCCCAAGGCTGCCCCACACCAAAGGGTGCCAGGGATACTCCCCTAGTGTGCTGGGGAGAATGGGACCGAGGGGATCCCAGCCCAGTGTGCACAAGCCGGGCTAGGGCACTGGGAGGCAGGATTGCTCCACGGCCCTTCCCAAGTACAGCTTTCCAGCCCCAGTGCCCTGCAGGCTCCTGCCTGGACTTTGGGCAGGACACAGTCCCTCTGGGACAGGTTAGAAGCAGAGGACGCAGGAGGGCTGCGATAGAGCCCGAGCTATGGGTCCCTCTAAAAGTCTCCTGGAAATGCAAAAGAGATCAAGAAACTGGATCCCCTCCCTTTTGCAAGAAAGATAGTCTGGAAGGTTCCCTCTTACCATCCAGGATGCGTCCCAGCACCAGGATACTGAGGCAGAGAAGATGAAGGTGCTGCATTTTGGTGCTAAGTCTGGCAGAGGATGGGCTGGAGGCGACAGTGCTCTGGGCAGGAGAGGTGAGCTCTTCACAGATTCCCTGTGGTCTGCTGCTGGTGCTTCCTGCTGCCTATTTATGCTTCCAGCCTGTGGCTTTCACTTTCTTTTGGAGAAGAGGAGTGGGAAGTTGCAACAAGTCTTGCCACAGGCTGAATTTTAATCTTTGAGCAGTTCCCGGATACCCCAGCTGCTTTCCCTGCAGCCAGCTGCTCTGCGGTCCCAGAGCCAAACATCCTCCTGCCCTCCCTGCTGCCAGCACTCAGGCCCCAGGGGCTTCTGGTCAAGGCTAGAGCAGCTTCGAGGTCTCTTCACTCTGCGAAAGTACCCCAGGTCCCTTGAGAAAGTACATGGGGGGTCTCACCCCATAGATTTCCAGTACCTCCTCCCAGACACCTCTGGGACATTCCCATTAGATATCACATAGGTTCAACCCACTGATGCTGGGAGGAGAACTTGCCTCAACTCCATTTTTTGGATATATACTAGTACTGAGGTGATGCCTGGCTACCCTTGAGCCCTACCCCCCCATCTGGTCGCAGGACCCTGGCTGGCTCCCCCTGCCCTCCCCATTACCTGGGAGAGGGGACACATCCAGAGCTGGTGGGTGGAGGGAATCCCAAAGGTCCAGGGCCACGATCTCACATGCCAAAAGACAACCTGGTTTCCAGGTGTCCCAGCACATAAGATCATGGTCAAAGGCAACTACAGATCTTCCTGGAAACAAGTTTTCTTGGCACAAGAGCAGAAATCCCCCACGGAGGGTCTGTGCATGGTGCACGGTGCCAGCAGCTCACTGGCTGCGTGGGCACTGCAGGGAGCGAAGACCAGCATTCCCACTGCAAATCTTGACAGGAGTGCAGGGACAGAGGCTGTTTCTCCTTGGAACAGTGACTCACCACCGTGCCAGTGCCACCTGCAGTAATGTCCCTTAACCAGCCTGCTTCAGCACTGCTATGTGGCATGTGGGATGCTGAGCGCAGTGGTGTTGTGCAGCCCAAGGAAGGTATGGTGAAGGGGGTCTCACTGCTGCCAGAAGCTGCCTTGTAGGGGTTTGGCTAGATGACAGAGCCAGGCTCTTCTTGGAGGGGCCCAGGGAGAGGATGAGAGGCAACAGCACCAGTTGCACCCAGGGAAATTCCTACTAATAGTAGGAAAAATATTTCCCCACAGGGATGAACAAATCTTGGAGCAGTATCTCCACCCCTCCACCCTCTCTCTTCCTCCAGCTTCAGCCTGTCCTGGCATTCCAGCGGAAAGCACTGCATAGTTCTTCCACAGGGACAGGTATCTACCTGGGGACAAGACACAGGGCTGGGACCCTGCGACATTCAGTAGGTCCCTCTGCTCCTCTCAGCAGTAAGAGATAGCAAGCTCTGCCCCTTCCCTGCTCCATGGTAAGAAGCAAGAGGAGACTCCAGCTGTGCCACCAGCAGTGCCACCATCCCTGCACTGGCACTGGAACCAGCCTCATGCATGGCGTAGTCTCCTCCATCAGGAGAACATCACCTCTGGCTTCTCCTGTGCCCTGGCAAGCCAGCGCTGTGCTGAAGGGGTTAGGCACCGGAGGTGGTGGGGAGGATGAGCAGCACAAACAGGATGTGCCAGCTTAACTTCAGTCAGCACCTGACTTCTTCTGGCACTCAAAAGCTATTGAAGAGATATCTTGGCTGGCAGAAGGGGAATTTAGGTGGCAGAGGATTAGTGTCAGTCATCAGACCGAGCCTCCCTGCAGGTTTGGGGATGCAGGCTGGCTCTGGGACCCGGTCTTCACTTGATCTCCCTGGGGTGCTGCAAAAAGATGCCACAGCAGTGAGGATGACAGCTCCTGTCATACCTCTAGGAGCAGCCCCTCCTAACCCAGAGCCAGCTCCATCCCAGGGGCTGGACTGACAGCATGAAGTCCTGCAAAGAGGGGGTCCCAAAAGCAGAGCCCTGACCCACCAGTGGGGGATGCTGTGGGTGCTGCCCGATGGCAAACCCTCACCTCCTTGCACGTGTGGTAGGTTTGGCAGCTACCAAAGCACGCCCGAGGACTGGCAAAGTGTGCTGGGGTTGCTGAGGATCCAGCCCTGTGGGACACACCCCCCCCCCCTTTCAGGTAATACGGGGGTCCTGGTCCCCACAGCAAGTGGGGGGCACCCCTACTACTTTCCAGGCACAAGGGGCTCCCGCCCGCTGCTGGCTCCTGGCTGGCCATGAGCTGAGAACAGTGTGTCCAGTGTGGGAATACAACCTTCTGGGGACAAACCCCTTAACTGCCTCTGGCTTCAGGGGACCCCTTGCCCTTGTGCTGCCTGCAGTCTCTGCTGACACATAGGCAGAAAAGAGAGGCTCTGCCTCCTACCGGCAGCTGTCTGGGTGCCAAGTGGGTGAAAGCTCGGCTGCTCCAGTCGCTTCTGCTCCCCAGGAGGGACACTGGAGGGTGAGGAAAGGGGCTTTCCGCTCGCATTGTGAAAGGGGAATGTGACCGGTTTCCCTCCCTCGACTGGGGTCAGTGGCATTTCTAAGAAGAGAGTGGTCATCTCTGAAGTATATCCCTACGGCATGTAGTGAGGTCACCCCATCCCCCTCGCAGGGCTGAGCCTTGGGTACCAGAAGAGATAGCGCAGATGGGGAAGAGGGGACATTTTAGGGTCCAGGCTGTTCAGAGGCACGTGCAGGAGGGGAACGGTCGGAGTATCTGTTGCGACTTGGGAAGAGGTGAGAGCATTGTGTGCACTGACCCATTTAAACATCATCCAGGGAAATTTGGGAGTGCTAGAGCTCCAGCCCCAAGGACACCACATGCAGCACAAAGCATCCCTGAGCACTCTCCCCTGCAGAAACCTTGATAATGCAGCTGTTAATTAAAGTGGAAACCATGCATGGGCAGCAGGGGGGATGATCCCCATGGGAAATCCAACCCATCAAAATGTAAATGGACTGTGTGAGCATCACCTCCATCCCCAGACTGTCCTTGGGTCGCACCAGCCATGCTGCCACCCTCCCAGAGACCTGCCCAGCTGTGGAGACCCCCAGGGTGCCTGCTCCCCAACGGGGTCATGGGCTCCAGCTCGCTCCCAGGGGTGCCTTGCGGTGCTCTGATTTCCACCTCTGAGCTACAGAGCTGGAAAGGGAAAAAGGGGAATTTCAGCAAATTCCAGGCACAGCCAGTCCCTGGGGCAGGATCTGGCCTGGCTGCATTCACCTCCTTGGGAAATCCTGGGCAGACATTGCAGCTGTTTCAATTTCCTTTGCATCTTCCAGCATGAGGGAGCCTCCCACACGGCTTCCATTGCAGTCCCAGACCTGGTGTGGCATGGGGGCTGGGGCCACAGCCAGCCCATGGGGCTCAGGGACCCGCTGGACCTCTTCTAGCTGGGGGAACCCAGTTAATCTGATTTAAATGGAGTTAAGGGGAAAACAAGAGCAAGTCATACCTTTGTCCAGAGGGAGCAAAGGTGGCTAAGAGGGATGCAGGTGCCAACTCCTGCTCTGTTAGAGCCCATCTGTCCCTAACACTCTTTGCCTTCAATGCCATTGATGTTTAGGTCACCGTGGGCAATGGGCAGCAGAGCCAAGACCCTTCAGCTGGGTCCATCTCAACCTCCCCAGGTGAGCACCCGTCTCCCAAGGTGCCTGCCACACTTGTGTACCTCAGCACCAGCTTTGGGCTGCACAGTTTCACAGCCAGCTGCTTCCTGCAACTGTCCTCAGACATGCCTGGGATGCCCCCAGCCCTGACTCCCTGCTATCATGCTGCCTGTCCTCCTCTCTGAAACCTCTTCAGGAGTTTCAAGAGAGGATGGATGGGGAGCAGCTCAGAGACCCGTGCAAAAAGCAGTCCATCAGCAATTTCCTTGTCACCTCCCATGTAGCTTGTCAGGAAGGATGCCCGGTGACACTGCACTCCAAACTCACCTGTGGATGGATCTAAAATCAAACAGGATCGACCAAAATCTCTGAAGTCTGCTCTTTTTTACTGCTCTCTTATCTCTTAGACTGACACCAAGCAGAGGGGACTGTGAGGTTCTTGGTTTAATGTAGCTCTGGGACATGGCTCACGTTGGCCCCACTGCAGGACATCCTGAGAGGAGAGCAGGTGCTTTTCCACTGTACCTTGGAGAGCTGCAGCCCCGGAGCATGTCTGCAATGTGGCATGGGAGGGAAGTGCAGAGACCTATGGGTCTGGGGAAGTGGAAGGATGACTGACAGCATGAGGACACCCCAAAATCAAGGGTCTCCAGCCAGCAAAATGGAGGACAGGAGAAGGAGGGCATTTGTGAGCTAGTAGGCAAAGAAAGGGTTGAGAAGAGGCTCTGCACTGGGACAGGATGGGCACCAAGGGATGGCCAGGATTGGGAAATACCTTGGGGCAGGAAAGGTGGGAGTCTCTATTGCCCATCAGACACTTCTCCACCTCCTCTCTGCTCCCAAGACCATATCAGACCTCAGGAGAGCAGTGATGGTGGAGGCAGCATGAAAAAAAAAAACACCTTGAATCTTCAGTTGGAAACCACAGCCCCTCTAGCACCCACATGTCCCCAGAAACAGCCCTTGGCACCCACTGGGTTCCTGCAGCATAGCCGGCTCCTGCTGCTCGGGAACAGCGTGGAGCAGAGGGACAGAGCCGGTGCATGTGTCTCCAGGTGAGCCTCGCTGGATCTCATCCCGCATTGCAGCCCCGCGCGCTCCGCTGCCGGCACAAGCCCAGAGCACCGTCTGCGCTGGCTAACGACTTGAGCTAATCATTTGGCCCCATTTCAAGACTTCCCTTTTCTTGGCTGCGCTCTGCGGTTTCTGTCTTGCCTGGCTACTTTCTGCTGTCACTGAAGTCTTTCTGCTCCGGGGTGGTCGAGCTCTCCTAACTTTTTGTTCTGCTTGACACGGTTGCAACTTTCTTGTCTTTCATGCAGAATATCATGGGGATCTTGCACAATCCTTGCACACCCTCTGCCCCAGCACACACTGCATCGACACTGCCTTGGCTTTACAAGTGGGGCGAAGCAGCAGGGGTACGACTGTGTGAATCCTCCTCCGCTGCTTCACTGTGGCATTGCCTTAGAGCATTTTCTTTACATTGCTTGTCTCACTTGGGGTCCGCGGATTCAAATCCTCTGTGGGAAAGGTGGTTTGGCCCCTGCTGTGTGCTCCAGATCCCAGCCCATCGCTTCTCCCTTCAGCCTCTCCTCGGAAGTGTTTCCCTGGTGCCATCCTACCGTGGCAGCACTGCGGCCACCTGCCTCGCCAGCCAGAGGCTCCCACTAACCCTGACACCTTATTTTCCCTAAAAGCAACATTCTGCAGTAAAGCTGGAGGTGATGTGCAAACACCTGTGTGTCTGTGTCCATGCTCACATGTGCCTTCCTGAGCAGGTGTCTGTGCATGAGCATGAGACAAACACTGGCATTCTTCCACAAGACCTGCTTTTAGGATATGCTTTAGGTTAAGTTAGAGCACCCCCGTGGGCACATCTTTTTAACCTGTTTTAGCCTAATGCCCGCCTAGCATTTGAAGGGGAAAAAAAAAAACCCACTCATGTGGTGTTTATATCTGCAACCACAGAGACACCAGGACACATTTCATGTGCTGGCTTACTCCTGCTTGTGCTTTGCTGTTTGTGGTTGCAGTCGTACACGGCTGGGCCTCATTTCTATAGGGTTTTTGCAATCATTTCACAATCCCCTGACACCACAACCAGCACAACAAGGAGTCCTGCAGAAGGCAGGGCTAGCTTCATAGGGATGGAGGCAGTGCATCCTCAGCAAACCCAGGGCTGTCTCCAGCTCTCCCATGGCAGCCCCGGCTGACTCCCAGTGTGTGGGCGTCAGTTCCCAGGCATCCAGCAAAGCACGGGCCAGAGCACAGCCTCATTAATAACTTGGTTTAATGCTATTTTCCCAAAGCAGCTGGAAGCAGAGAGCCCCTGCTTTGAGCAAATGGTGCTTGTCCAGGGAGGCTTGGAGTCAAAGAGGAAAGAAAGCTCCGCTGTGAGCAAAAGACACCACGTACAAAACTGTTTTGTGCCCCCATGTTTGCTGGCATCCCAGGACTCCTCGGTGGGGACAGATGAGCAAACAGGAAAGCTTCCCCTTGCTGGGCAACACAGCTGCAGGAGAGGGGACTTGCACGGTCCCTGTCCCCTATGCCAGCAGCTCCCAGCCCCTGTACTCCAGGGGCGCAGCACCCAGAGGAGCTGCAAAAGCCAGGACCTGGGGGATGATGGTGTGTGGGGCAGGAGAGCAGCCCCCCATTCAGCTCCTCCCACCCCCCCTGAAGCCCATCACAACAGCCAGAACGAGTGAGTTTGGTTGTAAAGGATATATTTTATTGCCTCTTATCCTGTCCAAAAGCTGGTCTGGCAGACGGCCACATGCTCCCACGTGGAGAAGAGGGCAGCACGGAGCCAGCTCAGTGTCCGTCCCATACTCAGGGCTGGTATCTTGGACTTCACAGTTTCTTTACATAGCCTTCAAATAATAGGCCTAAATGCCTGCCTAATAAAGCAATCAAGCCAGTTAAATGTGCTTGATAGAAACACTCAGCTACAAGCTTTACTCCAGCCAACACACAGCCTTTGCTGATACTGTTAAGCCCTGCAAATCCTATTATTGCAATTATATGCCTTAATAGACTTTTACTGACCAAAGTCCATGTCTGAAGTTCTGCAAGCAGATAGCACTGCAGCTGCGGTACAGCCCTTCAACTTGCTCCTTCTTGGCATGCTGGGAGGGGGTTTACAAGCACAGGGGAGATGCCATTTCCCCGCCAGCCCTATCCCAGAGGTCTGTCCCCCGCCACTTGCAGTCTCATCTTATGTTGTCCTTCGGTTAGTGACTTCTCATTTTACTAAAGATTTGGGATAGAGCTGCTCTCAAACGGCTGCAGCGTGTCTGCAATGAATTTTTGCAGTCTTTTTTTCCCCACCTGCACAGCCTCATGTGCAGTTTTCACCATGTGGGCTTTTCAGATTTGGTAAGACAGTATACGAGTTTCTTTTTTGTTTTTCAGAAAACCAAGCATTTTGGCTTAATAATGTCTGAATCTCTGGCAACAGAAAAACAAAGGGAGACAAAAGGGTAAAATTCCACTAAAATGAACAACTTGTTCTGATCTCATTGCAATTTTGTACCTAAAAAGAATTTTTAAAAAATCAAAGGGACAAATCCTGACTATCTTCCTCGAAACTACACTGCAACAGCACACTATAAAAGCTGAAGAAAAAGCCTAGAACAGCCCACACATACAGGCACACTGTCACCCTCGCTGTCCCCAAACTCTCCATCTCAGCTGCTATTAATCATCCTGCAAGGAAGAGCCCAGCAAGCAGCCCAGGCAGGACCACAGGGACATGAGACCTACCTGGCACCCCACAGCCCTGCAAGCCAAAAAGGAGCAAACAGGTGATCAGGAAATGAAACACAGCTGTCATTTATTTGGTATAAAAATAAGAGCAATCTTCCAGAAAAGCCAGCCTGCAGCATAAAGGGTACTCTGTGAAGCACAAGAAGCCAGAAGCAGAGCTTTCCATGAAGACTGAATGAAAGCACAGTCTTTAAATATAAATACAGATGTATAAAAACACCCAAAATGTCATAGGAAGAGCTGCCATACTGCCAGGCTACAGAAATCCCCTTCACTGGGAAGGCTGCCCACTGCCCTCTCGGGGCTGTGGCTCAGCTCCCAAGTCAGTCCAGGTCCCTGCTGGCACGGCCAAGGGGCGAGCGAAGACCTGGGCGCCCCCACCCCCTGCTAAGACCACACAGCTGGTGCAGGGGTCCCAGCTGGGGGAATCTCTGTGGTGGGCACAGCAGCACCGAGGGGGCTGCAGAGCAGAGGGCAGCCCCCTCAGCCACTCCTGTCCTCACCCGGGGCCAGTGGGTGGATGGTGTGTGGATGTCCATTGCCGGTCTGTGGGTCGGTCATCAGTAGGGGAGGCATCCGTCCTAAGGAAGGCAATGAGGGGGTGGTGAGGTGGAGAGGGTCTCAGCGAGAGCACTCACCCCAGCTGGGGGGCCTTTGCCTTGCACAGTGTGCCTTGCCCATCCCCAAGCAATGCCTTGTCCCAGCAGCCCCAGAAACAAATCTGATTTTAAGGCAAGCACAGACCAGGAAGCACCTGCACCCTAAGCACCTCCGCGCTCCAGCCACAGCTCTGGCTGCCCTCCCAGGCTCAGTCCTGGGAGCCAGACACCTGCCCATCCCAGAGGAGTGGGGAGCAGCACCCTCACCCTATCACCCTGCTGTCCCCCAACACCCTCCACATACCTCTTCAGGCCTGACTTAGACCTACTGCCGCTTCTGCCGCTTGGATCTGTGCCTGGGACGCTGGGACTTTCCCTTCTTGTCCTTCTTCTCCAGGTTCTGCATCAGCTTCTGGACAGCAGCGTCGGTGGGAGAGGCACAGATTTTCTTGTTCCTTCTGGTGGTGAAGCTGAGGGTGCAGGCAGAAAGGTTTGCTGGGAGGTGGGGAGGGGGAGGACGTGGGGAGGGAGGGTTTGGCTGGAGCCTGTCAGGATGGCACTGACAGCATCAGGGTACTTACACAACAGCATGCAGCAAACATCCTGACGCGGGTCCCTGGAGGGTGTAGGACTTCACCACATTGCTGGGGATGGTTTTCTGGCTGTACTTCAAGCAGCAGTCCGAGGCCGAGCTGCCAATGCCTGGGAGCAAGGGGGGGACATGGGGTTTTGGACCCTTACCATGCCAGGGCACCTTCAGAGCCCCAGGGGAGCACAGCATTGCCAGCTGATAGCACAGGGCTTGCTTGGTGTCATTCACGGGAGAGGTGCTAGGGCAGCATGTGATGGTGGGAGGTCTCAACCCAAGTGCCCGGTTGCAGATCAGACCCTGCCCTTGGGCATATGTGACATCAATTTCTCTGCTGGAGGAGGGTAAACTGAGGCAGAGACTAGCTCCTTGCAAAGGGACTAAACCTCGTTCTCCTGCCTGCGCTTTTCAGCTCGGGTTGCTGCTGCCCCGCCAGCCACGTTCACACACACACACGCGCTCCCAAGACAAGCAGGCGCTGCAAGCCAACGCCACACACCAACCACACAGGCGCACACCCCCGACACACCACTGCACTGCAAACCCCACAGCCACACACGCACCCAAATGCACCACAAACACCCCCACCCTGTGCGCTGCCATCGCACCACCCAGCGCCCTGCGCAGGTCCCCCTGAGCACCCACCTCCCCTTGCCCCATCCCACCCACAAGCGGGCAGGAGGGCTTCGCGCCCCTCACCTTGAGCCTGGGAGATGAGGAGGGTAGCAGCCAGCAGGAGCAGCGGCAGGAGGAGGCGCAGGGCCATGGCGGGTGCCACAAGTGATGAGCTGGTCAAGGCTAGGGAGCAGGACACGCACTGCTGCCTTGTGCCGAGGCTGCTCCTATTTATCTCCGGACGCTTTGCTTTCATTTTCGGCCAGCCTGGCAGGCAGCCCACCAGCCAGCCGAGGGGCTGGGTGACGGAGAAGCGGGAGGGTGTGGGATTCCTGTAAGCTGCAAGCCCCCCTTTACGGACACGTCCTGTCTTGTTCCCAGCTGCCCGTCACAGCGTGGGGTGCCAAGTGGGGGGCACACCGGAGATACGGCCGCTATCACAGCTAGATGAATTTGTGGGCTCGTGTTTCTTACCCAGCTTCGGAACCTGCTGCTACCTGCTCTTGGAGGGTCGGGTGTTGCTACTTGCCTGTTTGTTCCCCAGGCAGGGACCCTGGAAGGTGGCCAAGCCATTAGGGAAACCAAGGAGTCGATCTGTTTTTCTCCCCCAACTCATGCTTTGCACTCAAACCAAGCCACCCACCCCACAAAGGTTAGAAGGGACTCAGAGTGTCCCCACATCCCAGCTCTCTGAGCCCCCATCCCTGTCCAGCTGCCTCAGGGACCTCCCCAGACAGCTGAACACATCTGTAGGATTGGGATGTGCAAGGGCCGGACTGCAAATGGGACTGGGGGAGATAGCACAGCCCACCATATGTGGGTGCTGATACCAAATTGTGGGGAGCTGAGGATGAGCGGGGACCTCGACCAGCTGGAGGAATGGGCTGACAGGAACCTCCAGAGGTTTAACACAGACAACTTGTGAAGTCCTACAGGCACGATGGCGTGACCCTGTCCAGCTGGGCAGGTTGGACGTGGCTGGCAAGATGGGGGCTATGCAGGGGGAGGTAAACAGGAGCCCACAGGGCAGCCCTGTAGTGGCAAATTCCACCAAAAAACATGGCCACATGGCTAGACCAAGCCCTGAACAACCTGGTGTAACACCAGTGGTGTTCTGAGGAGGTGATGGCCAGAGACCTCCAAATTTTCATGCAATTGGCAGGGCATGGTCTGGAAGAGACCAAGGACAGACATTTCACAACCGCTTTGGGCAACCTGTTCCAGTGCTTGAAATATTCTCAGGTTGAAAACATTTTCCCCACTATTTTATTCGAATTTCCCTTGATGCATCCTGTGACACTGCCTCTTACCCTGCCCCATGGCCCCTCTGCGAACATTCAGGCCCCAGCATCTCTCCAGCTCCCCAGGCAGTCCCCACCAGCAAGGAGCTCCCTTTGCTGTCCCATTCCCCGTTTCACCACCCCACTGCTCACAGCACCTCTTTGCCCTCCCTGTCCTCCAGCTCCTCAGCCAGCCCCGGTCCCGCTGCGCATGTCAGCTGTGTCCTGGGACCCCCAGTGGGATGCAGAGTCCCAGTGGGATCTATCCAATGCCAGTGGGGGCTGAGTCCTTTCCCAGGCTCCAGTGCTTGTGACCTGGGGTGCAGCCCCAGGACATTTCATCGGTTCCTGATAAGGACCCTCATAAACAGTTATCAAGGGCAATGAGTAACCCAGGGGGAGATCAAAGTCCTGGCTGCTGTAGAAAGCAGAGCTGTGATAAGATGCCCACTTAGGGAGGGGGCAATGCTGGAGTCATGGCGGGGGTGCTCACCAACAACTGCCCTGCAGCCCTCTCTTGGGCAAGGAGAACAGCAAGCTGCAGCACCTTGCCGCCTTCCTCAGGGACAAGTTGGGTGGTTGGGGTGGCATGGGATCCAGGTCTGTGCTCCTGGGGCTTCCTCTGCATCGCTGATGCAGAACAGAAAGGGAGTTCCCATGCTGGGGGGTACCCATGTGCTCAGCACCCGGATGGGGGAAGGCAGCTCCGCACGCACTCGTGCAGCACCAAGGTTGGTGTGGCCTCGGGCAGCAGCCCCTGGGGCATAAGGCATGTGTGGGCCATGTGCAGCAGCGGGCAGCCTTTGGGTGCATCACCCCAGGGTCCCTGGCAGCATGGGGAACTTGTCCCTGGAGGCACCTTTGTGCTGTCACTCATCCCTCCAACACCAAAGCACTGGTGGCATCATGACAGGGCAGCAAATGGAGAGCTATACTGAAACGTATCACCTTTCCAGCCCCTATGTACAACTTCTCCAGGCAGCAGTGGCCAGGTGCTGAGCACCTGGATGAACCCCCACCCTTGGCACAGCTGGAACACTGTCCCTGTGCTGGAGAAGCTGGGGCAGCACTAATCCTGTAGCCATCCACCCTGGTCAAGTCTCCCCCAGAGCCTATGTGGTATCAGGACAAGTCATATGGAGGGAGGGGAGACACATCACAGGCTGCCTTCAGCACAGACCAGTCCAGCCCAGGGCTCCCTCTGCTCCCAAAGCAGCCCAGGAGAGCTCTGCAGTCCCAGCACAGAGCCCAGATCCTTCCCTTGCCCAGCCACAGCCACAGCAGCAGGCGCCTGGAAAGTCCCTGGCTCTCTGCGTGTTTTCAAGGCACCACAGCAGCATCCTCTGGCCAGAGGCCAGACCCAAACGCCGCCTGAGCTGCTGAGTAGGGTCAGGGCACGCGTTCCCTTCACAGACATCAGACTTTGGCAATTCTCTGGTTGCTGTGATTTGCACCCTGAAGAAAGCAGCCGGCTGAGCAGACCCTCAGTCCAATCTTTACAGCAAAGGTGGATGGGACAGGACCCAGGAAGGAACAAACTAAGGGCAGGGATACTTGGCCTTGCTCTGGCTGAGCAATGCAGACACACCTGCATGCCTGAGCAGCAGGGCCCCATGGAAACCAGCCTGGGGGTCCATGCTCCATCTCACCTCCTGCCTCCCTTCCCTCAAAGCCCCACGTTCACTCCTTCCTCTCCAGGTGCCTTGCTCTGTCACCTGTCCCCCCAGCTCGGGGAAAGCAGGGAACTTCTGGCAATGAGAAGGGGGTGAGCATCCCTGTTTGCAGGGGGTGGTCACAAGGTAGACCAAACTTTTGGGATACAGAGCACCTGCTGGGGGTGAGGGATAGAGGCAAGGCTTTTTAGGGCTATCCAACACCAGCAGCCTCCAGCAGGCACCCTGGCCAGGCACGATTTCTTGCACGCACCCACATAAACCCATTTTTCACCCACTTGGGCCCCTACAGCCACCAGCCTTTTCTTGGAGCTCAGAGGTACAGGATGGAGACAGAGTCAGGGAGGGGGACATAACCAGGCAGGGTGCCCCTCAGCTACAGGGTACCCCTTTCTGGCCCCAGGGTCTGTGTCAGACACCATACAGAGCTTTTGAGACAGGTCTTAGTGCAATGGTGCCTCCATCTACCCCCATGCTCAGGCAGCCCAGCTCCAACCTTCTGTGCATCCCTGTGGTGGAGGGACCCCCAGACTGCAGGAAGAGGGGAGGGTGTCTTAGGCAGAGACTGTGGTGTCCCCACACACCGAGTGTGCAAAAAGAGTGGGACCATTACAAAGGTCATCAAACCACCTTGCTTATGAACATTTCCCAGGCAGTGAAACCAGCTTGGAAGCTTGTAGGGACTCACTCAAGCCTCCATCCCAAATGCTTCCTGTGTTTGCACCCTGCACCCCAGCACCAGCACCTGCAGTTCACTTACAGATTACTTCCCTGGCTTCCAGCATCGCAGTTTCCTGGCATCTCACCCCATAATGCCAGGAGATCCACTCTCCTGACCCCTCTGCTCACCCAGCCCTGGGCTGCCCTTCAGCTCTGCAAAAGCTCCCAGCTCTGCCCCCTTAACCAGACAGCAGGGTCTGCTCCATGGGTAGCTCAGGGCTGGGAGCAGAGGCTGCTCGGGTACATGCATGGACGAAAGGCATTGAGGGGAGCCAACGAGGGGCACTGGGAATTTCCAAATCCTTCTGGATGCTGCCTCCAAGTTAAAGTCACTGCTAACACGAACAGGGTCGCACAGCTCAGCTCAACCCATTGACCGTCAAATTCCTTCCTGTAGAGTCCCAATTCCCAGGACCCAGTGCAGAGGTAGTTTGCAAAGCCCAGCATGGAAAAACCCCATGACTGGGAAGGGGAGTGGGCTGCCTGCCAGGCACACCGTATAGAAACACCGTATAGCAAAACGATCCCTGGGAAGTGGGAAAGAATTGCTGGAAGCCAGCAGCACACAAGCCGTGCAGGCTCCTCGTTGGCTGCCGCGCCGTCCCCCGGCATTCAGCAAGGCTGATGGGAAGAGCAGGATGAGCACAACATGCTGGGAAGGGCAGGGAAGCCGACTCCCTGGGAGTCCCCTCCCCACACATGGGTGCTGAAGCTGGCTGGGCTTGGAAAGGTTCTTCAGCCAAGAGAAGTTTGCCCCCAGCTCCCCTCACACCCCAGGTGGAAATTTGGTTTCCTAACTGGGTGTAGGTGCAAGGAGTTAACCCTTTGGTTGCTAGCATGCCTGCAGAGAGGCTCAGCCACTTTGGGGCAGGACAGGCTTGTTGCTGGAAAATGTGCAGGGGGGTAGCGATCAGGCTGAGAGGGACTTGAGCGGGTCCTGTGCTGTGGAAAGATGCCCTCTTCCTACAGCATCCTCTGCATGGCATGTGGTGCTGCCCATAGTGCTCCCTCAGACCCAAAATCAAGGGACCGGGCAGGACCTCTGTTTTCTCTCCCCATGGAAAGCACATGGTCAGGGTTGCTCAGCTCTCAGCCCTCCTGATCCAGACATTACTCAATATGCGGGATCCTTTGGGCTCAGGCTGTTGTGAGTGTGCACATTTGACACCACGTCACCAGGAAATATATTCAGTGCTGAAAGGGGTGATGGCTCAGAGCCTGTCCCGCTGTGACATGGCAAAGACCTCCACAGGGTGGCCAAGGTTTGTGGTGGAAAGGGGATATAAGAAGAGGCTCCTGCTCTTGGCAGAGATGCTAGACCAGCTAGTGAGAAATGCTGCAGGAAAAAGGGGTTCAACTGGTCTTTGCCTAACCCTCCAAAAACTGTGCCCCTCTCAGCCAGTCCTCAGCCCTCCCACCAACCACAGGCCCAGCCATCCCTCTTCCACCGAGAAGCATATCAATGTTCCATCCAAAAA